CTATACATTATTTGTTACGTTTTAATAACCTTTTATGATTAATATATTTCCAGTTTTTCATTTATCTTACATTGCACGTAGGGTATAATTCTACCCAAAAATATCAAAAGTGAACATCAAAAGGGCACAAAATATACGTAAAAACTTTTCCGTAGTTATTAAAAATATAATAAATAGTTTTTGTAATTTATTTTAGTACAAATAATACTATTCCAGCAAACAATTATTATCTAAATATTAAAATAGGTGTGGTTCACGCTATGTTTCTTAAACTTTTGACTGAGATCTTACCCTGAATACAACCTTAAGAGAATTTCAAACGTTTATTCACATCTCGTTTGAAATGTATTATTTTGCGGTTGGCAATTTTAAAGAGAGATTTTCCACTCCGAGTTTTAATTCGAAGCTTCATTTCGTGCACGGACTCGGCGGTCGGAATACGATATAACAAAGTCCCTCTCTCTCTCTCTCTCTTAAACGTGTTTCGAGACCGAAAAATGATGATCCGAGAACCGCAGGAATTAGATTGGGATGCCGGTTATCTCTCCGTGTTCGTTGAGCACGAGTGAGAAATTCGCGATCTAATGTATCGGCGTCATTACCCGATTCTAGGTTTCGACAACGCAGCGGAATCAAAGACAGTGGCAATTGAGAACATGGGACGGCACGTATCGCGTTACCTCTTCCAAAGGATATCTCGCTCAGCGATCCTTTTGTTAAAGCTTGCAATTGATGCAAGTAGCGATTAACAATTTTAGGTAGCGCGATCAGTTCGGTCTCTCTGGCGGAAACTATTTGACATTAAATATCACTTAATTGTCGCTCCGGAGTATTGCGATTGCATATATTTCCGATGACGACTAAAATATTTCGACAATTAGAACGATATCACGTTATATAACGAAAAAGCCAAGTTCTTTCGTTTTCGTTTTCAAATTACATAGACGTGAAAAAGCTGATCGGGAGCTTTTTAGTCCAATGCTAAACTTTTCTCTCTCGCTCCGACGGGCGCCACCGTAGACGGATCAATATTGTTGTTAGATTAACAAAACGGTAAAAAAAATTACAATTTTCAAAACGGCGTGAAAACAACAACTTTATAAAGAAATTTAACAACTTTGTAAAGAAATTCGCAAAAAGTGGTCTGATATGCTTGTGCTTTTTCCCCCGCACGTGAGGCGGTCACTACATGATATATCCTTCTAGATGCGTCGAGAGGTACAAATCTTCTGGAAACGGGATGCACAACAAGGAGAAGATATATATATCGTTTGACTTAAATCTCCCTTGCGTCGATGCGCCGTCACGACACACTATTAATTCCGAACGATATATTTCGATTCTGTGTTAGCGGCGCAGACGCGCCAACCGAGAGAACATACTGCACTATCATCGCGATTTATTTGTCTCCGACCGATCTATCCTTTCGTCGATCCCTGTACCGTTGCCAAAAATTATTCAAGCGTGCATGTTCGCGTGTGTGCATACTACCTTTTAACTTAGCATCTGAAATTAAGAGAGAAAAAGAGAGAGAGAGAGAGAGAAAGCGTACATTTAGAGAGAAAGAGAGAGAAAAAGAAAATCGAGATACCTTTTACGAGCTAACCAATAACGGAAATATTGTGAAAATTTGTTGGTAATATATACGTGTAATGTATATTAATTGTGAGTAATCGGTGCGTGATACGCGCAACCGTTACGATTGTACGAGCGCACAAATCTGCGTTACATTACAACCCATCGATTCATATTCATTTTGTTACTTTCAAGTGTAGCCATAGAAAAGCGAACCCAAATTTGTTTGTAATACCCGTATATATATATATTTACTTGCATCGCATAGCACGATATATTTGCAAGTTCACGGATGGACATTTAAATTCAACACCTATTTTATTTGCATTTACAAGCAATATGTTGTTTGCATACGTTTGATTATACTTAAATTATGTATACGTGAATCATATCGGTCTCGTAAAAATTAATCTCTTAGCAGCAATCTTAGATATATATATATATATTAACTAATTTAAATCTCACTTTTTTTTATGTGCACAAAAGCTTAGAAAAATTTAATTGAAATTTACAAATCCTCCTATATAAAAAAATCCATTTGGACCGCGAAGAACACATTTTTGAGTCAAATGTATCGCATCTATTGTTGCCTCTTTTCCGCGTTGCCGATTAGTTGGTTGAGTTGAGTCGAGTCGAATCAAATCGATAAGATCGAGAGAGTAAAATAATGACAGAAAAGCGATTTTGCCAGTTCATCGTAATGGAGAAAATTAAAAACGTGAGTAAAGTAACGTCACGTGACAGGAAATAGTAGAAAAACAACACATGACTAAAGTAACGTGATTTATATTATATATATCGTGTACGTAATTTATATTATATATAACATTAAATAATATATATTATACATATAATTTACTATATACTTTATATTGCATTATATGTATTATATACATACTACAGTAAAGTCACTGACGTCGGTCGCGTGACCGCGGCGGAGTCACTGACCTCGGCCGCGCGGCCTTGACGGAGTCACTGACCCCGGCCGCGCGGCCTTGACGGGGTCACTGACCTCGGCCGCGCGGCCTTGGTGGGGGGAGGTCACTGACCCCGGCCGCGCGGTCTTGATGGGGGGGAGAGGTCACTGACCCCGGCCGCGCGACGGCGGCAAGATTACTGACTTTGGTCATGTGATTACGGTATATATACAGGGTGTCCCAGAATTGCCGTACAATCTCTCGTAGGCAGGTAGAAGGAGTAAAACTGAGTCGAAAAGTCCTAAACCATTTTTTTCTATTATTTATAATAAAGGAGTAATTATTGAGTAAATCAGGCCAATCAGCGCAGACCTT